CTTTTTCTACTACCTATAACTATACTACCTTTAACTTATAACTATACTATCTACCTATAACTTTTTTGAAAAACTCGAAAAAATGGTGTCTAGATACTGTACCTGCTACGTACTTATCTTGAATTAAAAAAAAAACTGTGACGGTGTAAACGATGGAACGTGGAGATGTATTTACCGGAGCTGGTGCAGCTAATCCGTGAAGGTCAAAAAGTGCATCCAGAAGACACTCAGGTGGGCACTGCACTAGGACACAGCACTGCACTTCCAGAACACTCACAGAAAATCCATAGAATTTCCTGGATAACGCGAGAGCAACGCGAGAAGTACACGAGCGATAACTTTCTGTACCGTTTCGAAACAGCTAGAAAAATTATCAACGAGACAGACTGCTTTGATGATAGCCAAATTCGAGAACTAATCATTATCTGATTTGTCGAGATCCTTATAGCCGATAACTCTTCCTTTCCCTCATTGCCGTTCCTTTGAATCAAGTGGAGAGCGTTCCCTAGCAAACCGGTACGTAACATTTGGAGATCCTCCACGGCGGCTTCCCCAGGACATTGGACGACAGCTGGGTACCACATCTTTAACTCGGGCAGGAGAGTCCTCCCCTTATCGTAACGAAACTCTATCTCCGCCCGTTCTACAGCCCTTTGCCCATCTCCAGCGGGGCGCCGGCATCGCACCCGTGCTTCTGCCGGTCAGTGGAGACATCTCCGTCGGTACTGTCCTCTGCCGGGCAGCTCGCTACGTCGAGACTGCCTCCCCGCGGCAGATTCGAGCACCTGAACGTCAACTAAACAATAACGAAATCTTACGAGAGCATCTATTCACATCTATTCACCCAATAGAGGTGAGAGCAACCCTCGACCAAGGGTTGCTCTGGAGATTGCGAAGCCAATCTCCATCTCTTTCTAAGGGTTGCTCTGGGAGTCTGTTGTAAGTTGTCGAGAATCTCTGCCCGCCAGGCTACCCGTTCGTGATCACATTCAGCTCGGCTACGACGGGATATGCATTATCAACGGAGGCGATGATCACAAAATTCTATTCCCGTGCTCGCCGCTACGATTTAGCGCCATGTTTTTGGTATCGCCTAAAACCGTAGCCTCGTGCATCTCCCTACTGATCTCTGGTGAATACGAACGCGTAGCTTGGCGAGCAGAGGTTCTCCGCTACTCACCGCTGGTTCCCAAAGCAATCCTTAGAACGAGATCGAGAACTATAGTACTTCTGAAAAACTATTGAAAAACTCTATTGTTGAAACATTTTTAAGATCTCATCTCTGGCCACGGGTATAGCATTTCCCTCAAAACAGTAAATGTAGTACATACATATATATAAAGAAGACGCTGTAAAGGGGTTATGTGTCAACTAGGTGGCAGTGTACGCTGATGTGGAATAGTAGTAGGTAGCAGTGGAACGTTGAATACAGCTGAGTCGAGCCAAGTGCGGTTAAGTACGGTGTACTGGCCAATGTCGATTGTACTTGTTTGCTATCGTAGCATATTAGTATGGCTGAATAGTCAGTATTGCTAATGAGATAGTACTGTACGGTACAGAGACCTGCTTAGTCACGTCCAGTGTTCACTGTAAATATGTTTGAAATCACAGACACGCAAAGTGAGTATCGAGGCACATCGCATCAAGAGTGGTAAAGCCTGAATACGAAAGATAAACGAAAGAACAGAAGTCGAGGGAAGCTGAAAAGCGCCTCGTCTAGGATGGACGGGCGAATGGCGATCAACACCGGCCACGGCTCTATGTTTCAGAAATTGGCGTTGGTCTCGCTGGTTTTGGAATATCCTTTCTCTTTCTTGGGGTCTTGCTCCTTTTTGACAAAGGTCTCCTAGCGATCGGCAACGTAAGTATAATTAAATTTCGCTACGTACTGTAACTTAGGTTAGTGGTTTGACGTTTGCATTTTCTTATTTCATAACAGCTCCTCTTCATATCTGGATTGGGATGTGTGATTGGACCAAGAAGGACTCTTAGCTTTTTCTTTCAGAGACACAAATTGAAAGCCAGCATTTCCTTCTTTGGAGGCGTTATTGTAGTGCTGATGGGCTGGCCAATTGTTGGCATGATTGTCGAAACTTATGGATTTGTTTTACTTTTCAGGTATCTGAACAGCAACATTCTTATAAGTTCATACACGATGGAAACAAATTCATAAAGTATACTTTTTTTTTTATTTTCAGTGGATTCTTACCAGTGGCAATAAATTTTCTGCGAAGGGTACCAGTCTTGGGCACGTTGCTAAATATGCCAGGTCTGAGCAGGATTCTTGACATGCTGGCAGGTGATTCGAACAGAACTACAGTATGAGCTAAACAAAAACACTTTTTTGTTATAAGCAAATTGATTATTGTATATACGAGTCACGCAACAGCAGCTATTGCCACTTCGCATTACCAATCCTCCTGATCATTCCACCAATGATACTTTTAACTCATTTTTGTAAACAAATATATGCAAGAAAAATGCACTTTATGAATCATTATGAAATCCAAAAACCATCATATTTATAGTCAGAAACATACCAGGTTTTTTTTTTAATTATCTCTTTTACCTGTTAAATTTCCATTTTCCAATCTATCTTGTACTTACAGTCTCTCAACTTGCACTGTACTCATAAGGAATAAAAAAATCTCATTCAATTTTACTTTCGGTTTTATTTTGTTGTCTTCTGCATACATCCTAACATGAACAGATTAGATGCACACATACGAAGTAACGTTTTTCTTTATCTTACACGGTCGTCTGGAGTGCGAAATTAAATAATCATCCCCTTAAACAGTGGATCATTACTGATATTAAATGATCGGTTCCATTAATTATCATTACGAGTTATTAATTATCTACAATGGGCCGAGGTTAAGGGCGGGGGCGGCCCAAGTCTACGCGCCCCGCCATCGCCGTGATTTTTCGCCGCGCGTCCCTCTCGCTGCTCCACCGACCTACGTCGGTAGATGACAGTGACGGTGATCATGGTAGTGGTGGATGGTCGTGATAGTGGAAGTGGAAGAGGTTGTAATAGTAGTAGTGGTAGTGTTTCTGTCGATGGTGAATTTTACACTAGGTTGACGTTTTGAGACATTCAATGTCTCGACCGTTGTCCACTCGCTCACGCTTGGAACGTTCAACGTTCCAGTAACCCGATCGTTGGGTTCGCGTTCATCATAGAGCTATCAATTTCACAAATACCTACGCCTCTCTTAACGAACATAAGAAAGAAGAATATAGCACAACGAGCCGCCGCCACAAGAAAATACTGAATTTGGCAATAAGTTAAGCGGTTTCTATTCTCTATTTCAGAATATAAGTTCTGCCAAGTTTCATGCATCTCACAAGCCGCTACCAGTTACTCGAGCCTGAGTTATTTATGAAATTGTTGACGGTCCGTCTCCGGCCGTTCGATGAAGGGGCTGGGCGCTTCTTCCATATTATATCCCGAGAGGAAACAGTGGTTGGTAGTGGTGGGTGGTAGTGACAGTGTTGCTGGTGGAGGAGGTGTCGGTGCTAGTTCTTGGTTGTAATGGCCGTCGTCTTTATTCTTGTTTTTATCGCTGTTGATAGTGGTGGATGGTGGAGGGTTTTGTATGTTACTTTAAAGAAGGTTCTTGATTTCATCGTAGAGAACAAGAACAAGAGCGCCACCGGTACCACGGAGAACGTTAGAGAATGCGCCCTTGAAGAAGGCGTTGCCACCTTCAGATTTGTAGATAGTAGACCAGCAGTGCAGCGTGCTCTTGTAAAGAATTTCAGATTTGGCACGACCAGACTGCATCATCATGCGCCTACGCACGGTATCGAAGGGATACGAAACAATACCAGCTACAGTGGTGACGACCTAAACAAATTCAATAAGGGATTATTATCTTCAAAACTTAATTCGCGGAGGCTACACAGAAAACTTTCCAGCGCCCTTTCAAGATTATCTCTGACTTGAAACTCCTTCGTTTGCTTACTCACCTGTGCAATACCCCACGAAACGAGGAACGGAGTCTTCTTGGGATCGGGCAACATTCCACGAGCAGTGTCATAGAATCCGAAGTAGGCAGCACGGTAAATGATGATACCCTGGACAGAAACTCCGAAACCGCGGTAGAGACCACCGATTCCATCAGCCTTGAAGATCTTGGTCAAGCAGTTTCCAAGACCGGAGAATTCACGTCCACCACCGGCCTTACCGACATCAGCAGCTAGCCTGTTTACAGTATTCAAGACCCATATTTTTTTAGTACAATTCCGCACTAAATTAGAAAAAAAAAATTAATATTACATTCAACTAAATAATCGCGATCACTGGCTTTGCCATATTAGTCACGATAGGATCGGGGAGTATCTGACACGCGAACGTAGCTCACAGTGATTTTTAATGCAAAAATGAAACGAATGAACCCGTTCAAAGCGGCGCAAAGCGGTCTCTCTTGATTCTTTTGTACAAAGCCAATTGTAGGCTCATTGAAAGCGAAGGACATAGCCCTGTCAACGAGATTAGTGGGCGTCGCGTAGCATCGCTCAGCATACTGCGAAAATCCGATAAGATACGAAGTCTAAGCAGAGTCCGATATTTCGCTTGACTGTGTTTCATGTTTCACAAAACGACCCCGGTGGCAGAGAAGCAAACAGGAAAGTTGAAAGAAAACTTTAGTATGCGTCAATGGTAGTACGACGATGACTTTGATAATGACGACTTACCTGGTTCTTGCGAAGTCAAGAGGATAAACGAAGCAAAGAGACGTCGCTCCAGCGGCACCACCAGAAGCTAAATTTCCCGCAAAGTAACGCCAGAATTGAGTGTTCTTGTCGACTCCACCGAGGAAGACCTGCTTGTACTTATCCTTGAAAGCGAAGTTCAAAGCCTGAGTTGGGAAGTAACGGATGACATTGGCGAAGTTACCACGCCAGTAACTCAGGAATCCTTGTTCACGTGGGATGCGCACAAAGCAATCGACCATACCTGCAAGGGAAAGAATCGAGCTTCGTTTCATTCTATCCATTCAAAGGCACCATCGCACTCGCAAAGCCGCGCCCTAGCGCTCTTTTGCTCTTGCTAGACGCTTTGAAGGATGCCCAAATATTTTACAGTTTATCAATTGAAACAATCACTTCTAGCCGTTCACCTGCATGTTATTGTACTCTTTTTTTACCTGTCAACGAATTCTTTATAATCTATATTTTTTATATTTTTCTTTTGGTCAATTGTATTTAAATAAAAAAAAAATGAATTCGCATAACTTTGCGAATAACTAAGCGTAAAATATTATTTTTATAATCCTATTAGGGAGGTCGGTGATTACACATATTTCAAGATGAAATTCTGCATTAGTTGTATATATTAGACAATAAAAAAATCTTTGCCTACGTTAAATTTGAACAATTTCCACTACATAGATATGCTAAACCTATAAAAATGAATAACTTCAAAATTCAATATCTTCATTTTCGTTTGGTAGAATGTAATAATTTTTTGTACTAATATAGAGCTTCTCTTATATTCTCTTGTAAACTACAATAGTCTTGTAAACTAAAATATTGGAATTTTTCACTGCCTGTTTAACCCGTTTTTCCCTATTACTATTATGATTATTATCATCAAACCACCTTAACACTAGTCTATGTTATTTTATTGACATAATACACCGTGATGAGTCTCTCGAACTCGCATGAACTTCATCTCATGAACTCATTTCAGAGTGATTAGAATTAACACTGACATTTTGCGAGTTTATGTCAACCTTTGTCAATTATTTCAAAAATTGCAGTAGGTCTAGTTAGAGCAAACAAATCTACATTATAGCTTCTAAAATCTAATTGGATAAACAGTGCATCGCTTTATTGTATTAAGATAACGTCATTGTAGATCCTATCTGAAACTCTGTGTAACAATTTTCTGGATCAGTAATAAAGCGCATGATTGGAACGACGAGAGGAATGAAAAAAAAAAAAAAAAAGAAAAGAAAGCATAAGCCTCGGATAGCATCAAATGCGTAAGACTTATGGTATAGCGGATGGTTCGCCATGTTGGCAGGAATAAGAGAGCGCAGCGTTATCGATCGACGGACCACGCGCACCTCGCCTTCCGCTTGCGAATGAATCGCCATCTGGTAGAGGCTGCAGCGTCGACATTCGCTCATCGACCCACCCGCCTGTCGCTTCCGACCGATGTGCCTAGCCAGCGAGCCACTTCTTGCCGAATGTCCCGGCTTCCAAAAGTTATGTAAGCCCCGAAACCATACTGTTATATAAACTTCAACGTCAAAGGGCAATGATGTGAATTACGCTACTGCATATTAGAAACAAGGGAAAAAATCATGAAATAGGGAATGAGGAGGAATGGGCAGCGAGAATCATAGAACAAGGAACGAGAAAAAAAAAGAACGCAGCCGCTGCGGAACGACGCGTGATCGTTGTTCAGGCACTACCAGTTACTACTATCTTAACATTATATAATAGAGAAGTGTGGTGGAGTCTCGTGGCTTGCTCGATTCTACTTGAAATTTGCTACTTTGTCCACACTCTCCCCGGACGCTAAGTCTACTGCAGTGATTATAAGCTTTTTATCATGACATTTCTGAAACTTACGACTTTCAGGTAACCTTTTCAGTGAACATGCAAGAATTTTCAATTAATTAAAGTCAACATTACGAACGTGGATCTCACTCGTTTACTTTTAAGGATTGCCATTACAATGTCGCTGCCATGAGGTGGATCAAGGTGGCGGCGATTACAGAACAATGCAGAAGAGAAAACTTTAGAAATATCTGACTTACCCTTGTAACGCTGATCCTCGGCGATCTGCTTGGAAATGTGCTGAACCTGAAGCAGCAATTTGACGCGTTCGATTGGGGCGACGGCAGTCTTAGAAATTGCAGCAGCGACGCCGCCAGCTATGAAATCCTTGGCGAAAGCCACAGGGTCCGCAAGACCAGCCATTGTGTGTTGGGTGGTGTGTGTGTGTGTATCGGGTTGCGAGAGGAAGAGGAGAACTGACTCCTGTATCGGGCGCGCGCCGGACGACGAGTGAGCGAGGAGAGCTCTTCTCGTTGAAACGTCCACCGCTAAGAATAGCTGCGCAGATCACGTGACTTAGTTTGCGCAGCTTCGACACTTTGCTCGTTGGCACCTCTGCCATTTTTCTGTGCCGCTAGTGGCGCTCTCATTCCCCATACTTGCTGCAACAATACTGCTGCGTTTTCTATATATTTTTTCTGCGTGCCGATTACTCTTGTATTTTTCTCTGCTATGCCAAGGTTAGTTTCGGGTTTTGATGTTTACTTCCTTCCTTCTTGCAGTTCGAAATTTTTTACAACGTCACGCACATTACTGGTTTTCAAATTTTTAATTTAAATACTTCAAATGTGCCGCTCGTCCAATCACTTCCCTATCTCTATCGACTTACAAATGGCGAATGTACCCGAATAGGGACTTTTAAGTTTTTGGTTGATCCCTTAACGTCCTTAAGTTACCGATGCTTGTGCTATAAGCACAAAAGCCTTTACGTAGCTGAGTCGCGGACACTTTGCGAACTCCTTGTATTTCTCTTTCCCTTTTCGTCCTATCTCGTAGCCGGTTCTTCACTCTTTCTTTAGAGAAATTTGCATTAGTGTTCCTTTTTCGAATTATATCGAGTATTATACGGGGTTGGCTTATTTCCGGTAAATCCACCAATCGTGGTCAGCTAAATTAAACGGGATTTCAGGGACGGCGCGTGACCGACATTTGCCCACCGTGTATATATGTATATGTAATACAAGAAAATGGGGCCAGCAGCCACTGCATTCTGTTCTTATACTGATCGATCGTTGGCAATCTGATTATAGTACGTCGCGCATTACCTACATGTAATGAGCATGTAATGCTTAAAATCATTAAAATAAGGGTATAATTGCCTCATCGGGGTAATTCCGATGCTTACGAAATTTTTGATCGTACTGAATAAACTAGTTGAATAAGAACTCCTCACAGATTGAGACAATCATTTTCCACAAACTAAGAATTCTCGTTTGAATACAAAATTAATTATTTCATTGATCAATGCATCAGTTTTGATATTCCAATTTGAATCGAAAGAATAAGATGCAAGGTCAACAGCGTTTTGAGAATGAGGTCGACGAAGCGTCTGTTGCGTAACCCTGGCCACTAGCCAGTAACAAAAGGGTGGCAAAGTTCAATGGAGCAACGCCGACCGAGATGTATTTATACCCTTTGCAGATGCATCAAGGTAAACTTTGTGTAGCTAATGAATACCTGCGATTAGAAGACTTGTTTTCCTTTATTCTGTTACCGAAGAGAAATTGACAAAGAACTGGACCAGACCCCTGTTTATTCTGTCTCTGGAACTAAATTTTTGTCACGTTATCCAGCTCTAGAACTTCTGTGCTAGTCCCAGAACGGTTTCAGCATATTTGCCATGCCTACTGTACCCCCCAACTGTCAAACACAACGTTTCATAAGGCTGCAATTGTTTATCAGTATCGTCTTGATCTCTCTGATCATCTTGACTAATTGTAAGTCAAATGAAAAGCTCTCACAATGAATGATTTTTGTTTGTTTGATATTGTCTGGATTGTTCGCATCAGGTACGACCATCCACTCCAGTGTTACGTATCGGCCTTGTAGCTGTACATACATAATTAGTGGAGGTGGAAGTGTAAATTTATAGTGAGATTTTTCGGGAAGGTTTACGCGTGAATGAACTACATATTTTTCTATAATTTTTCTTCCTACTTTCAGGTTTTTCTCTCTACATTACACTTTTACTAATTTTCTCGCTACGATAAAATCTATATGTTCGCAGAAGGGCGGATCAAGTTACCCGTTCAAAGTCATTTGTTCCATAAGGTGGCGCACAAGTTGTCCTCTGTTTTTTGTTGTTCTCATCATCCCTGACCATGCTTGACCAGCCGTGATTGACCATGATGCTTCATCGTCTTGAACCTCGAATTTTATACTTACGCTTTATACAGCTTATATTGCTACATTATCTCTTCGCCAATGAGAAATCCGCCGTGTTATTAATTCCGACAGGTTACAGGGATACAAGTCCTACGAAATTGTGGCTTTTCTAAACTATCGACACAAATAAGAATGTTAAATTATATTTAAATCTAGTACGTATAAAGGTTATTCGGCTACTAGATGTATCTTTCTAAATTTTGTATCTTTCCAAAATATTAAATTATAACTTTTAGAAGCATAACGATGTCATTGTATATTAATATGTATGTGATATATTGCTAAAAGTAAATAAAAATAATGGATGCTGACAATATTTTGTTCAGCTCATTGTCATTAGATTCAAAGTTACGTTTCGTGCAAGCAAAGCTCGGCCCTCGCACTATTTCGTCTCATGGTGCTTGACCCTGTATCTAAGAATATTATGATTGTCAAGAATTGGTGCGCAATCATGTATGTATGACGAAGTGAAAATATAAAAAATAAATTGTCATCAGTCAATCACATGTTGGAATTACAAAAAGGTAAACTATGGGATCGATAAAAAGATTTTCCTTTTCGCATTTATACAATTATCTAAGATACATGAATGCCCCTCCGATTGAGTTAGATAATGCCGTGACCGACATTGGCTGTGTAACCAATTTCTATGTTTCCACCGAAATTGAACAAGAATTGAAATACATTAGGTAACGGGAACAAAACAATTGAGTGTTACGGATATGCAACAAACGTATTTCATTTCTCATACTCGACCTCGGTGACTTCAGTGGAAACATAGCCATTGTTGGTGTTGTCACTGCTGTCGCTACTGTCGTAGCAGCATGCCTAGTGATGCACAGGTTCCATGTATGTATGTACATACATAGCTGTCAGAGCGTTCGACGAGACGCTGTTTCATTTGTAAATAACAAATAGTACAACGCGAATTCAAATAAATAACAGTATATCTATCGTAAATGGAGGAGTGACATGAGGGTATTGTATATCTTTGGTCGGGGAACACTGTAAGCAGTTTGAGAAGATAGACTAAAAAGATATATAAGATGTTGCTGAAGTAGGTTAAACAGGTGAATGAGTGGCTAAAGAGATAGGTAGGTAGATAATATTTAGTGTTCATAATGGCTCAGTCAACAGCGGGTGGAACCTCCTCGCGTAGACACACGAGAGAGCATGATGTCAGCTCTTCTTCCACTGCAACTCGTTATATGGACAGCGAATGGGAAACGAAGGAGGTACATTGATTCACTTTTTCTATTGCTCTTATAAGACAGAGCATCTAATTTATTTAAAATATTTGCAAGTATTTTTGTATATTTTCATTTGAAGACGATATCTATTTAATAGGCTCTGCGACAAAGAGAGCTTGAGGAAGCTCGGGCAAGGGCTGCACAGATGGAGAAGACAATGCGTTGGTGGTCAGATTGTACTGCTAATTGGCGAGAGAAGTGGAGTAAAGTTCGTAATGAGAGAAATAAGGCACGAGAAGAAGCCAAGGTTCTTAAAACAAAATTAGAGATAGCCACAAAAGATGCAAATACTTTTAAACACGATTCCCAAGAACTGGAGCTGCAAAACGAACAACTCAAGAGAGAGATGGAGAAGATTCACACGATACTGCTAAAACATGCAGGTCAATTTGATAGACAGATAATTACAATTTTGGAATCTGATCCAAGATTGAGGGATGCACTTGGTGTTGATGAACTTCTTGAGGTTTACAATAATGCAGAGCACAATGAAAAATCTGTTCTACCTTCAGCCCATCAAGAGTCTGTTCCCCCACATACTTTATATGATGGAGGTAACTTAAAGGTAGAAAGTCGAGACACTGGTCATGATAGGGACATCGAGGAGTATGTATTACAAGGTGCTGTGCCTAAGCATGCTGTGGAGTTATACAAAGAAGGTTCACTTGGAAGTTTGGATACAGATATCGCAAAACTAGTCGTTGACACAGTCACGATGCAGGATTCTGTGGATGTGAGGCAATCTTCAGTGGACATAGCAAATGAAGACGTTCTCGTGCAAAAAATGTCGGTACTCCGTCTTAAATTGGATGAGGCTACAGAAACGATCTCTACCCAAAAAGAGTAAGAGCAAAAAGAGTAAAAGCTAATGAATGAGCAAACAAGTGATTATAGATTTATTAAATTAAGCATTAAATGAACGTAATGCCGTCGCAATCAATTTATAATGGTTGCGTATGTTATTTAAGGTATGAAGAATAATAATTTTTCGTTTCACTTTAAAGAGAAAAATCATTTCTTCGCCGCAGCATGGAAAAGCTGAAAGTCGAGGTGATAGAATTGCGGGAACGCTGTGATCAACTGCAGCAAAGCAAAGCCGAAACAACGAAAGAGCTTCTTGAGCTCAAGGATCGCTTTCAGAAAGAGTTAAATGCTGCACAGGCAGACCTTATGGATGAAACCTCGAACAGGGAAGGAATGGATCGACGTCTATCAGACTTAAGGACCGAAGTAAGCCTATTGCATGCATTATGAGAAACGTGATTGAAAGAATTTTTTTTCCTTTATCTTTTCTTCCGTACTAGACTAGTATACTTTGTCATGAATATGATTATGCAGAATATGCTACATCATCCCGATATCCCTCAGTAGATTAAATAGTAATAAAAAAGAATACTTTCTAAAGGATACATGGCTGATGTAACATTTGTATTCACCATTGACGAGATTCATTACCGTTTATTAACCTGGTCTGGTTAGTTGGAAAAGCTTCAAGCGGAAAACGCAGCCGAATGGGGTAAACGAGAGCGACTGGAAACGGAGAAGATATCGCTTGAGCGCGAAAATAAGCAATTACGAAACGAATTGCGAGATCTGCAGGAGAGAGTAGAGACGCGCCGTGTTCGACCAGTGTCTACAACGGACACAGAGTCTGCATTGGTTCAGCAGGAATTACTTGAGCGAAATAAGGTCCGAAATATTCTCATCGAAACACATCTGAAACACCTAAAAGATTCGACTTTATTCTCTGTTCACAGGAACTACTCGAACTGAAGCATGTGCATGCCAAATTGAAGAAAATATTAGCTGAGAAAACGACCGAGTTGTCCCATGCGAGTCGACGCTCTGAACAGTATGAGTCCGAAGTGAGAAGATTGCGAGCGAGAGTCGAGGAACTGAAGAAGGAATTGGCATCGGCGCAAGATGAGGTAGACGTTGCCACTAGTAACGTTCGTAAACTTCAGCGAGCCAACGAGGATCTTCTTGAACAACTTCAATCAGCAAACGTTCGGCTTGAACACTTTCGCAACAGGTACGTTTCATTATGTAATCATATTTAACAACTTGTTGACCTTGCATTATCGAGCTTTTGTTTGAATGCAAGGCATACAAAGATTAATCTTTCTGTATTAACAGTCCTGAGATATGCGTACCTGATACGATCGCTGAGCCAGAAGAACATAAAACATCGTAACTTCTAGGCAAACGCAGACGCAGACACAGAGACGGGGACGGAGACGGTGACAACAACCTGTACGACCGTGACTACTATCTAATTATCGAATTAGTAAAAATCTCTATTAACAATTTTCGCGACTATCACAATTTATTTTTTGGAAATGTGTTGACATTCATGTTCGACTTATTTTTTTCGTGAAACAAGTGTATCTTTGCAGCTAAAAAATTATGAAATGTCTGTCGTTCATCGGTTATTAGAAATCATATGTTTCAGAGAGAACATTATGCCTTTTTGCAGAATCCAAAGGACCACATGTGCTACCGACTCTTCTCGGAGTAGTTATCACAGCGAAAACAACGACTTGAATGGAAAAGAATATAACAACGGGAGCGGCAACGACGATGACGATAACGATTATAATGTTGGTAACGAGAACGAGAATGATAACGATGCTAGCAGTACCAGTGCTGATGATAATACCGAAGAGCTTGATGAGGACTATGACTACACTGCAGTTGCTGACAGAAAAATCAAGAAAAGGAAGCAGAGGGTGGAAACAGCTCAACAGCCAAACTCCTCAGTGGATTCCACTAATGCTGAGATCTCTTGTGGCATCAGTGAGAAATTTGTCATCGAAGATCTCTGACCCGCTAATATCACAAATCCCATGAAAGGAACTGATATTCCATTCGTTGTGAACATTTCAATTAATGAGCACACATGCTCATGTAACACACTTCAATCTTCAACCAAGATATTAGTTACGTGGTGTCATGCATTGCAACCAATGAAGTATTATTCGTTATATGATTAATTTTTATGAGCATCTTATCGCTGATCTAATTCTTGGTTGAAAATGACGTATACTCCATTCCTGGAACGTTTTATGTACAAATCGAGGAAGGTATTATTCCATTCACCGAATGAAATGGAATATCTAAGCTCGATTTATTAGAAGAAAGATGCATATATAACGATGAAGTACTATACCGGATTTTGTCGCTCCTGATAATAAAGGGAATTTGAAATCATAAAATATGTATAACGTAGATGAAACAGTACCTTTTTTTTTTTAAATAGACATCAGTGGTATCGAGCCATGATAACTTTTTTTTTTTCATGGTCAATAAATAGTATCTGTGCCCAGCAAGGAACTAGTGACATTGCTCATCGGAACGACCGAGTGAGTTTGTTAATTTCAATTTTATTGATAATGAATTGAGAAAGAAGTTATAAATACTAAGTAGATGTGCGATATATTAGCGTCGAAAAGCAATTAATAATTATATAGCAATGGTAATAAAGGTTCAGTTAGAAGGTCGGCTGTTATTAAATGACGTTGACTTCAACACTTCATGGGGCTGCCGTCAGGATTAGTCGGTACTTTAGGCTTACAGATCTTGGTTCGACCATTTGAACCGTGGACAATGTTGCAGGAGAAGGTAAAATATCCGCAAGTCGAGCTCTTCGTATAATAACGATGCTCGTACTTTCGTCCTGCATTTCTGCTGCCGTTACTATCGTCCATCTTGCCAGCGACACTGTTCGTCACCGTGTAATAATTTGGTCTTGGAGGTCGACCGTAAGACGGACCAGTATCGAGATCCGCATCGGAATTGGGGTTTGACGCAAAATTCGCTCTTAGGTAGGTGTTGGGTACAGAATGTGAGGGTTGTCGCTGCATTCGATTCTCGCCGAATCCGGATGGGTGGGAAAAGTATTTTCGTTGAGTTGTGGGGTTACGCTCACGGTAACGGTGGGTGTGCGATGATCTTGTTTGTAAAGCGGGACTTGCGTCGTGTATACCATGCGACTCGCTAGGATTCAAGGCAGGTCGACTGTGAGAGTTGTGCGTATCAGAAGCTTTGGCAGGCTCGGGAAGCGAAGCGATACGTCCACGGAATCCTGGTGGCACCGTGTATCCTGGCAATGATTGCCCAGACTCTAGTACGTCACCTGCGCGTGGTATCGCTGTAAGTGGATCTTGGGGCACGTGAATGCTATAACGATGATTCGTTGACTCTTTGCTGCCGTTTAGTTTTTCGTTTCGAGCTAGCTGGTCATTGCTGTTAGCCTCGTGTTTTGCGTCATAGTCGAACTTGTCGCCGTCAACGTTCCGTATATTTGACGGGATTAGATCATGATGTTGAACAGTGGGCGGCGATTCTTCTCGAGGAGCGTTTGGCGTCGCAGATGAGTCGTAATCCTCCTCATCCTCGTATTCGTAATCATCAGTCATGTTTCCGGCCTCGTACGCAGCGTCTATACTGCTACTCGGCAACACGGTGGACTTCTCTTGCTTTTCCGTCGTTAGCGGAACCGTAACAGTCTTTCGTTGTGAGCTCGACGTTTGAAGGGCGTCAGTATCCGGTCCACCACGTTCAGAGAAGAGTTTGGTATTACTTACTGATTGATTTTGAGTTTCCTGTTGCATGACGATTGGAATATCTTCGAATTTGTAATTAACGTTTAGATCATCGTCCCTCGGAGAAGAATTTCTCTCGGGTGCTGATGCGGAGAGAGCATCGTAGGATTCGAATTTCTTGAAAAGAGGTTGATCCGTTGTCGAAAAGTTGAAGGGTTTTCGAGAAGCAGCAGCACCAGATCCAGATCCGGCTTGCGCTGCTCCTGTATAGCTGATCCCGTACAGGAAAGATCCTTGTATTTGGGATTGGGATTGACCTCTATAAGTGCCACTTTGGGCTGAAGCGGTACCACCGCCGCGGAATGGTCTCTCCTGCCCGTGTTTCTCATGCCCGTCGTTAAAATTCGAGTTGCGATTAAGATATGGTTGGAATCCAATCTGTGCTTGACTGGAAGTGCTGCCCTCGCCGTTTGCCTGGGCATCCGCCATTCCGCCTTTTGAGCTCGCTTGCACCTGACTGTTAGTGCCATGATTCCAGCCGTTACTCTGCGCCCCTGTGGAGGTCGCACCACTCTCAGAGTCCAACTGGACTTGACTCTGACTCTTGCCGCGGCCACCGACGCCCTGAGCGTTACTTGCCGCCCCCTCCTTGCCGCCGTTCACTTGACTCTGGGCGCTTTTGCTTGCGTCACTTGTTCCAGCTTGAGCAGAGAATGAGCCACTGCCGCTGTAAGTTCCGCTCACTTGCGATTGTGCTGTTCCTCCTCCGTAAGTTCCTTGGGCCGATGCACTTGCTTGAGTTCCACCTTTTTCTCCTTGTTTTACCGAACTTGACGCATGCGAATCCGCATTTGCATCCGCTTCTACGTTCGAGCCTGCCCCCAGAGTTTTACCATCGGCACTAATATCAGTAGCGCCACCAGTACCACCAACATCTCCAATAGATCCAGGACCACCGTTAGTTCCATATCCACCTTCTGGAACAAGACCGTAAATACTAGGTGAATCAGGTAATCCAGTTGCCCGATTACTTCCTACTGATCCTGAATAGTAAATGCTCGGCTGATTCGGTTGTAATCCTGAAGGAGGTAAACCACTAGCGTTTCTGTCGCGATATCTGTTATCGGCCACTCCTGTAGTATCGAGCGGCCTGACGCCACCAGGACCAACTCCAACGCCGTTAGGATATTGTTGTCCTACTCCCATTGGTCCGCCTCTTCCTCCGATGCCAGGCACATTAGTTGGATACTCCTGGACGTTGACTGGGTAGTTTTGAGAACCTCCAAATATACTAGTGGCACCATTGTTAGGATCTACATTGGCATGTGGATAAACTGGCCAAGAGCTCGATGGCCGGTTATAGTATCGATCTCCGTCGAAAGTCCCTCGGGAGTCATGTCCATCGTATCTTCCTTGAGGTATCAAACCTGGTTGGCCGATTCCAGGCATTGTACCATCTGGATATAAGACTGCACTGCGGCCTTCAGTTGGAATACTAACTCCGCTTTGTGGCCCGGGATAGAATATTCTTCCTCCTGCAGTTCCTTCGTGACTCGTTATTCCCACTGCTCCGGGAGTTGCAACACCGGCGCCATCTGATCCAGCTCCACCAGATTCTCCAAAGTACATTGGGCCCTGTTTCGCTGGCGAATGCGAATATGGAAATCTTGTTGGGGCAATTTCATCTAAGGACGGCCCATACAACCTAGTTCCGTCCATTCTTCCATCGCTGATTTCTGCCGTTCCTCCGGTTCCCTCTACTCGATCCGTTTCCCTTGTTGCACTTATTGCCGGTTTTCCTTGTGTCGTAAGTGGTGTTTGACTGTTAACATCGCCGGGGTAACCGCTTATCCTTGTATACTCTGCAGGGACACTATGGCCTGGATAGACTGGACCCCTGTCCGCGCCGTCATTGCCAACACCAGTATATATTTTACTACCAGTGACTGGCCCTCCGTATTTATTAATAGGATAAGATTTTGAAGATACAGACGGCCCTGAAAACGGTGGAGGTTGCCCACTATAGACGTCTCTTCCTGAGGTGGAGTCGTATGATGAACCAGGATATGATCCCCGGCCTTCAGGACTCCAATAAGGTGCGTTACCATACGTATGTCCTGGGCCCTCATTTGATATACCAGGATAGACGCCGGCGTTACGATTGTTCTGGACGTCAACATTTGTACCATGAAGTCTGCCATCGAAATGTCGTTCAGAAGGACTCAGTGTGCCACCTGGATAATATGCGGGATAGACATTGCCGGAGACTCTCGTTCCTCCTTGAGTGCCAGGGTAAAATGTTGATTCTCCTGGACCCGATGCGGAAGGAATTCTAGCTGGATAAGATCCGCCAGAATTTGTATTATCTCCTGACGAACCAGGATAAAACTGTGACTCGGGAGGAGTTCCATGAGGGTCTATACCGGCGGACGTGCCTTTAATCTCTGGGCCTGTACGAGTGGCAGAGACTGCTCCGGGTAGGTTTGTTGTACCACCCTGGACAGGTCCAGATATGTTAGGACCTGTCGTGTCTTTGCCCGGTGAGCTGGGATAAAAGGTTTGCGAAGGAACCGAACCTGGGATAGGACTCCCGTTGATGCTGTCACTACCAGGTTGACCTCTGCCAACTAGGCTCGTATCAGGATAGAGCCCCGCTCCAGGAATGTTTCCCCCAGATGGTTGAATACCATTATTGCCAGGAGTACGATACAAATAAGGGAAAGGTACCTTTCCGCCTGAAGAATGGGGATATAAATCCGATTCAATTCCCGACCCAGTTCCAGTTCCGGATCCCGTTCCCGAGCCGGATCCAGGGGTGCCACTGACACCAGACGTGGACGTTGAGAACCGTGTATCGCCTGGAGAATTCCATGACTTCCTGGGTTCGAGTGTCTGAGTGAAAGGACGCGTCCCAAGGTCTGGAGACGGACCGACTAGTCCCGGGTATCCTTGGCTTCCTACTTGAGTGAACGATGGACCTGTGGTCACGTACCCACCGCCCTTTGGAATTAGGTCTTTCGTGCTGGATTGAATAGCAGCGCCAGGATAAAGAGCTTCTCCTCCGCGAGAAGCCAGCGGGCATCCCTCGCACCCAAGTCCACCAGCCGACATGCTCTGCGCCTGGCCCATTCCACTGTTTCCGCCTGAAAAGCCAAAGAGTCGTCTTATGCTGCCTATAATTGAAGTTGAAGGGGAGGGAAGAGGGATTTGCCTGATTCGGCGGACCAATGATACTCACTGACAATGGCGTGCGAAGACTCGTGGGTGGCTTCCGCCTCGGCTCGGCCTGCCTTTTGGCTGTCTCCGTCGACATTCAAATACTGCGACTGCGTCTGCCCGCGGAATCGGCCTTGATAAGGACTGGGCGGTGCTTGTCGTCGGGTGCGCCGTTGTCCTTGCGACATCCCCCACTTCTCCTGTCCCTTCGAGTCAAGAGCTTTGCGATTCTCGAGAAGCGTTTTCCTTTTGATGCGTTCAAGCAACGGTGTCAGTAAACTTTCCATTGCGCGTATCTGAATAATGTCATTTTCGTCTTCAGGGAGTTCGTTATAGAATGGGTCATCGGTCCAGTTCGGCACGGGTCTTGTTTCTTCGAGTAGCGATATCGTCATACCACTACAAAAATCAACGATTTTACCGCCAGCCAGTCGCCAGGCCTGTAAGGTTTGATTTAATATTTATTTTATTGAAAACCATTATTCAATTAAAAACATTAACCGACTATGGAAGGGATGAGCCTTATCATCGTGTTAATATGATTTGGGTAGTTCTTGCTGTTTACGAGTAGGTAGGGAGATACGATAAAGCGCGGTCATCGGTCAAGGACGTTCTGGAAACTCGAGGGGGGGAAGAAGGAGAAGAAGTAGCGGCGCAAGCGTCACATTTGATATCTCGTTAAAATCGAAATTGCGAAGGCAGATTGGAAGGATTCACCTCTAGTTTTGTAAGCGAATTAATCGAGCCGTATAATGTTCTCGGACCGGATGAGTGCGATTTCTGTGGACCTTTCGAGGTTTCAGCCAGCTGATGGGATGTCTTTTGCATTTTTTCCAAATAGCAGTTTTTCCATTTCGTATCCTTGTACGCTATAAAGTTCTGAAATATATGAATCGATTAAATTCAGTTGATAACTCACAAGACGGAGGTTAATAAACTGAAATTGATAGATTGAACATGTCAGATAAGTTATGCAGCACCGAATATCGGTGTCTCGCATACTGCCATGGACCTCACCGTGTTATCGTCGTTCAATGTCGATGAATGTCTGCCGACATAATTCGAAGATTCTGTGCTGCGATAATCGTTCTTCCGTGCCTCATCGTCTTGCGAAACGTTGTCCTGGGAAAATAAAAAATTTCGGCGATGATGCTCGAGGAGCGCGCGACGCTAGTCAGTTCAGTTCCGGCAAGGAATAAGGTGTCGAGTCAGAAGCGGCTCGTGTAAACTTCATTGTCAGTAGCAAAGGTTGATTGATGTTTGTCGAACAGAGCGTGGGCAATGTAGGTTGCCCTATGTACTGTCGTTCGCTGCTCGGATTTAATGCGAGCGTGAAAGATCAGGAGGAAGAAGGCTAGAGTCGCTTTATCGGAACCTTATCTGGTATGAACTCTGATCTTCAAATCATTCTATTGGGCCGGAGAATTCTCGAGTCCGCGTCTTTCGGATGGGTTTCGCCATGCGATAGAATCGGGTGTCCGTGGCTTTCGCACGGTCGTTTAAAAATGCAGTTTAAGTAATCGAGAATTCTCAGTCGTCTCGCGAGGGACTGAGATGTGACAACCGGCGAATCGGGGTCAATGGATTCTGATGATTGTGCATTTTCGTGATTAATCCAATGTTTTGAATTCTTTTACCGAAAGAAAGTGAAGCAGAATGGGAGCAGCGAGAATGATGCGTGAGACTTACGTGAAGAGGGTCGTTCGCACCGATGCCAGGGGTGAGAGTGGATCTGGTGCTGAGGTCAGAGTGCCCCGAAGGTACCGTAATCAGGATGATGCTCGCGATGATCAATTTGCGAATTCGAAGGGACGACACGAGTATCGGCGGCGCCATGGCCAGACTCGAGATCGTCCTAGACTGTCGTTGGGATCCCCGTTCGACACTGGACGCTCGGTGCTCTTGGCTGTTAGCCTTCCCCCAATCACTCTCGATCACTCCAGATCTCGATCCCGATCTCCCTCTTCGAGAGCTGCTGGTCGCCGCTCCTCTGCTCAGCTAGAGAGGAAGACAGTGGGCCTAACTGGGGATGGCAGTGGAGGTGGTCGCGTAGCTGGGCCGAAGAAGCATCGTCTAGGAGGGGGTGGGGGTGGGGGTGGG